GATTCACGAGACTACTGTGGGAGGAGTAACACTTCAGGTCCTGAATGGTGATATTACTTTAGAGAAAACTGATGTCATTGTCAATTCCAGCAATAAAGAGTTTACACTGAAAGCAGGTAAAGTTACTAATTCTGAATTAGTAGAAGACTGTTAATGCTTTTTGTACTCATGACTTTGCCTAGAATTGCTTGCTGCTTCATTTTGTAAGATAGGAATAATATGAGTTGAAACAGAGAAAATAAACTCATTTTATCTCAAATGGTTAAGGTGTCTCAAAGGCTATTTTGGATAAGGCAGGTCCAAATGTAGAAGCTGAGTGCCAGCAACTCGGTGAGAAGCATGTTTTCATTCCTTGACTAAAATATTTAATAAGAATGAAAAAAGAATGAAATATTAATTAATCATTTAATAATCTTTTCACACGCTCTAAAACTTTAGCACATGTCTTATAATTCTAGTTCATGTGTGTTGCCAGGGGCCCAGGCTACAAGTGGACTCATAATGACTCAAGCAGGGAATTTACAGTGTAAAAAGATCATCCACATTTCAGCACAAAGCAATGCTGGTATGATCCAAAGCCATGTTAAAAAGGCACTGGAAATGTGTGCCAAGGAAAAGTTAACCTCCATTGCATTCCCAGCTATTGGTACAGGTGAGAACAACTCAACAAGACAAAAAAGAAAGAAAGAAACGGGATAGTGTTGTCAATCTTTATATTAAAAAAGACTGTCCTTACATATGAAGAGAAAATATATGAATGCAATTTGTAGTAATGTTAGTTTTTTTTGTTCATTTGTTTTTTCTTCTGGAGCATCAGTGAGTATTTGAGCCTTCTGTAATAGTTGCACATGAGTCCCTCAGTTGTCCTCAGTGTGAAAAGATGGATCTCAAAATCATACAGTCATTGTTGGAAAGGGTTCAAATACACAAAAATGCTGGAAAACCAAAGAATTTGTGGGACCTGAAGGATTTTTCTGTTGAACAGTGGGCAGTTTAACTGTTCAGGACAAACAAGGGACTCATGAACAACTATCACAATAAAATAAAATAAATAAAAACAGCTGTGGATCCAGGTAACAACACAGTATTAAGAACCAAGTGTATATAAACTTTTGAATGGGGTCATTTTTATAAAGTCAACTATTATTTTCTCTTGTGGACTACATGTAATCATCTTTTATGTGAAATATTTTATTTAGGTCAGTACAAAATAAAAAAGTGCATCATCTCAAATTGTGGATTAGCATTATAAATAAATAAGTGGTTATTATAATGTAATGTACATTATATACATTTTTTCTTTTTAGTCATTATTTTTTGTACTTTACATTAATTTTGGCAGCCCTAACTGAAACATTATCTTTATATTGTCAATTCAAAACTTTCACTGTAAACATGAACATGGATTTTAGTCATGTGACTTTCTTTTTCTTAGGAAAAGCAGGGTTGTCTCCGGGTCAAGTAGCAGACTGCATGTTGGATGGTATACTGGACATGATAAGAAAAATTCCCCAGTCCACTCTCAAGCTGATCAGATTGGTTGTGTTCCAGGCCCAAATGCTCCCTGAATTCCACAAAAGCATGCAGAATCAAGAAACTGGACCTCCTAAACAAGAGCAGAGTACCTGGTCAAAGATCAAAGGTATGATGACATTCCACCTACATTTATAGAACATGAGTACCCTTTAAAACATTAATGAACAAAACAGAATAGTTCAGGAATACATTCTCATGAGGTCATTCACAACAAAGATATAAAACTGACTTTCTCCATTCCAATTTAATTTATTACACAGCATATGCCGCTAATGTTAAATCCTTCTTCACTGGATCTTGGGAGAAAGAAATAAAACAACATGGTGGCAAAGACTTTGTCATTGAAGGCATGCAAGTAGATCCAGTATTTTTTTCTATCTGTGGACCATCACAAGCAGATGTGGCCGAAACAAAGCGTTTCTTAGAGGGTATGATCGATCAGGAACAAGTGTTCGAGGCCATCACAGACACAGCGATACTTACCTTATCAGATAAAGACCAACAGCGAATCCAGGACCTGCAAAGCACTATAGATGTGACTATAAGGCTGGAATACAAAGCGAATAAAGGTTCAGAAGAAACCCCAGGAAAGGCCACACTGATAATACAAGGTCTCAGCCGAGATGTTCTAAAAGCCATTCAGGAAATCCAAGACATGCTCAAAGCAGCCAAAGAGAAAGAGACACTGCAAAAAGAAATGGATTACACAAGTGAGCTTGTTGATTGGCAGTATGAACAAGGTGGGCAATTTAGGAATTTTGATCAACGTACAAATTTTGAGTTGGAAAAGGCCCTTGGTAAACAAGCTGCAGGCATCAGAATTTCCTTCCAAGGCCAAACTTACCAGGTCACACTGCCTGAGGGTCCAGCAGTGTGCACCACTGGTGGAAACCAGATGAAAATCAGACGCATTGACAAACTGAAAGGTATGTAAATGTAGTATAATTTATCAATAAGAAAACCAAAACAATAAATATATAAAAATTATTAATTAAAATTAATGAATGTATAAATTATTATACTGCACTGGAACTAATGGTGTAGATTTGACCATCATATTAAATAACTAGATGCTTTTCTCCATTAGCTACTGAAGATATTCCACAGTACTGGGATGGAATGGCACATAACGAGTTGTGCAGAAAGTTTAATTTGCAACCAACCAGCACAGAATACATAGAGGTAAATGGCCTCTTCCAGGCCACTTGTCCTAGCAACAAAGTCTTGAAGGTATGCGTGTCATTTTATTGTATGGTATTGTATAGTATTTATTAATTAATTATTAGATAGTCTACAGGACTGAACATTGCTAACTAAATCAGCATATTAGAATGATTTAATAAAGGATCGTGACAATTCAGCTTTGCATCACGGGATTAAATTATATTTTAAACTATATTAACATAAAAAACTTTATTTTAAATTGCAGTATAATTTCAAAATATTAAACTTTTTTCTGTATTTTTGATCAAATAAATGCAGACTTGATGAGCATAAGAAAATTCTTTAAAAAATATAAAAAAATCTTACTGATCCCAAACTTTTGAACAGCAGTATATATATATAGCTGACTACAATGATAGAGCTTGGAATAGCCAGGACAAATTTTAATATAACTCCGACTGGATTCGTCTGAAAGAAGAAAGTCATATACACCTAGGATGCTTCGAGCGTAAGTAAAACACAGTGTAATTTTCATTTTTGGGTGAACTAACCCTTTAACATACAGAATTGAACATTGCTAACTAAAATGCCTTTCTCTCCTAAAATATTATTTTTAGTGTTTTCCGAACAGTTCATTCAATTTTAGAGGATTTCAACCCATGGTTATAGATATAATTTTTAGGGTGATTGTAAGTGGATCTAATTTTTTAATTAGACATGCAGTGCAATACATTGTAAACGGCCACAAAATAAACACATGGCAACATCACAGACAACTCAGTTTCATACTTGTATCCATTATGGGATTGTTATTTGTTTTCTGTAGATTGAACGAATCCAGAATCCTGGCATGTGGAGGAACTACCAGAATAACAAAAGTGTCATGGAAAAAAAGAATGGTCATCAAAAGAATGAGAAAAGACTCTTTCATGGAACCAGTGAGCAGACTATCAGTCACATCGAAAAGAGTGGCTTTAATCGCAGCTATGCAGGAAAAAATGGTAAAGCATTTTCTACAATCACTTAAATATTCAAACTTCACATTCCATCATTATACTTGATTTGAAGTGTTAGATTTATGTGTTGTTGATCTCTTAATGTTTCTTGTTACAGCTACAGCATATGGAAAAGGCACTTACTTTGCACTCAATGCAAGATACTCTTCTAATAACACATACTCAGTGCCTAATGCTCAGGGACATAAGCACATGTACCTCTGCAGAGTCCTTACGGGCGATTATATTACAGGAAATTCAACGATGTTTGTGCCACCTGCAAAAAATGCCAACTTTGACCAGTACGACACGGTTGTGGACAACCCTAATGCGCCTACCATTTTTGTGGTATTCCGAGATGATAATGCTTATCCTGAATATTTAATCACTTTCACTTAGTCACTGAAGATCAATCATTTTACACAGTGAGGCCGAAGATTGGATCACATTCGATAAAATCAAGAAGGTTTTTTAATGAAACTATAGTAGCCTACCCATAATGCCTTATTGAATCATTACATTTTGAAAGGGCTTTAATTACGAAAACTGCAAGTGCCTTATGAAATCATTTTCTGTTGTTTCTACTGTAAAGTTTACAAAATAGTTAATCCTGGTGATATTTTCACTAGATATGCACAAACAACACAATCCTCAGGCAATGTAAACAAACTGCTCTGCAAATAAAGATCTTCAAAACTTCAAATTCTTTTATTGTAAATTCTTACACCCTTACACAACATACAACTGATACTTTTGGCATTCAAAAACGTTTATAGGCACAATCAAGTATGTTTGCTATTCCACATCTTAGTTATGAATATAAAAATAAATCAATACAGTTAAATTTCTGATTTGTCCAGAAAGTAGACATATTAAAGATATATTATTGGAAAACTAGATCTTGGGAATCTTGAATTCCAATATAACAACCAAAAATAATACTTTGTGTTTTAAGTTTTAAAATCATATTTGTCTATATACTTGTCTTCCTACTAATATTTATAATGAAAAACTCCAAATCTTATATATACTTGGACAGAAAGATTGAGAAATATTGAAAGCCAGATAACCTTCTGTCATGTCAAGAATTACTGTAACACAGACTCACCAAAAAAAATTATTTCAGTGAAAATGAATGTAAAAACTGACAGTATGGCATGTCGTCAATATCAGCAATGAGACAAAATAATGATGGGGGAAATATTGTGTTGATTTAGGAATTATGTATTCAAATCACCAAGTCAGTGTCAAAGTGCTTAGTCTGTCTCATCCAAGTAGCTTTCAGCAGGTAAAAATAAAATTATGAGCAAAAATAATACATTTGCTCAGTTATTTTGTGTTCTCCTAATTTGTCTTCTTTAGCCCAGGGAGAGTGAGTTCATACCTGTTTAATTACAGAGAAAAAGTTACACATAAACATACACCATCTGCACACTTAAACCTTATAAATTAAAGATTCAGCTGCACAACAGAGTACATTAGTGCATGCCCACTTTTTCAGTGGCGTGGGTTTCAGAATTATTTTTTCTATTCATTTCTCCCATAAGGATTTTTAAAAAGTATTAATTAAAGCATTATAAGCCATGAACCAAACCAACCAGCCAACATTCCCTGTGTTTCATGGGAGTGGGCATTCCCTGCAAGCTCTTTTAGTGCTGGTGGAATTTTTTTCACAGCATCTTTGGTCATTTAGTTTTTCACCATAAATTGTGCGGTTATAATGTCGAAATAATGCAAACAGATGGTTTCAACAAAAGCATATCCCATCAATAAACAACCTCTGAGCTCACAACGGTCTTTAAAGCTTTATAAGTTGTCATTAAAAATCTATTTCCCTATGGAGAAAAGGAAGGTTTTACTTCTGGAATCCAACTGTTGCACTCTAAAAGCCACAAAAAAATCTTAGCTGACCACATTTGCAGTACTTACATTTCTGTGAAACCCTTGATGAGATCCATTTCAGACATATCGATCAAAACCTTTTGAAAAAGCATAAAATGATTTTTTTTAAAGTGACAGTCAGGAAATGTCCCGAATATTAGAAAAAGTTGTTGATATGTTTTTTCTTCATATATCCATGTCAATCCATGTTCTTTATCTACTTACCATTCCAATCTCCTTGCGCTCTCTTTTGTGAAGCATTTTATTGTTTTTGACGGCAACATCCAACTTTCTTGTTCTTGCTTCCTCCATTGAAACAGCAAACTCAAATCTGAGATGAAGAGTTGCGTTAGAAATCTTTGAAACAAAAGATGAAAATACTTGGTTTTCAAGAGGTGAAAATATGCTCTAACGTCTCATTGAAGACAGGGTTCACGGTCTTCTTTTTAACTGAAGTGCGCTTGCGGTGCTTCCACGTCTGATCAGGCAGCAGATACATGCGGACGTAAGTATCAGAGCCCCTCTCGCTGCAGGAGAACAGATCCCTAAGTAGAATAAATCATAGTTCTTATGATTCTTTGATCAGTGATAGTTACAATGTTTACAAGTTAAATAAAAAGAGGGATAAGCAACTTACTTGCAGCTGCTGACAATCACAATGAGCCGTTTCCTTAAGGTGGCATAACGCAATGTGAGTTGGATCTGTCCAAAGCTGCCCTGATGATTCAAGATGGCCCTTCAATGAACATATAAACTCATCTGTTAAATCTGAAGTTTTTTGTAGGACACAACATTTGTAAGCAGCACCAGATTGTACCTACTCTGGATAAGTAGCATTGTCTGTTAGATCGAAGCGAGAAGAAGCTATAGAGTTCTCCGACAACAGGCTGTGGGAATCGTAGCGACGCATTTGACTGGGGGTGGAGGGGGTTGAACGCAGCGGCTCTGTGCTCACGAAAGTGCTTCGTCGGTAGGGAGTATACTCCGCTTGGAGTTCATTATAGGAGCTGACTGAAGATGGCATAGGGACAGGAGCAGTCTGTGTTCTGGAGAGTGGGACAGATGAAACAGGCACTTTCGGGATGCCCTGTACAGGTTGAGCTGGAACTGGAGTTTGAGGCTCAGGGTGTATTTGGGTAGACAATACTTTTTCCTGAGCCTGATCTGGTGGAGTGACAACCTTTGGTTCCCGTTTCTCCAACGTAAGAATCTAATTGAGACGACAGGTATAATGTCATTGTTAACCATTATCCCAGCAAATATTACAACATTATAGTCATTATTATAGTAATCTGTGTCTTGATATGTAATAGAACACTTAAATATATACATAAACATTTTTTGCTGTTCTTCAGCTCAGTGGTTCTAAACTGGTTGGCCGTGACTCAAACTCAGGACACAGGTCTGTTCTGATTGGGTTATAGATGGCAGGATAGCAAAATAAACACTTATGAACTTTAAAAATGTAGGGGAAAAATATAATTGTGACACTTCACAAAAGGTTAGATTTGTTCAAATTAGTTAAAGGGTTAGTTCACCCAAAACTGAAAATTCTGACATTATTACTGAGTAATTAATGACAGATTTTTCATTTTTGGGTGAACTAACCCTTTAATGCATTAGGCATTATGAACTAACACTGAACAACAATTTTTACACCATTTATGAATCTAGGTTAATAAATGTAAATATACTACTGGGCTTGTGAAATCCAGGTGCTGAAGAAAATAAAACAGCTGCTGTAGTTCACTCACTCACTCACCCTGAGAACAGCTTTCATCTTGATCTGGCTGTTGGCTCCGGAGCGCTCAAGCAGAAAGCGCTGGTCCATGGTCATGTCAGAAACATTGAGCAGCCGGACCAATGGCAGAGTGAGTTTGCCCAGCGAGGATTTCTTCTCGTGTTCTTTTACCTATGGCCACAGGGTAAACGAAAGAGAGACATCATTTTCTATTAATTATATTATAAACTATGAGTTTGTTATAGTTATTGAGTCTTCTGTATAGAAGAACAAGAATAATTCATTCTTCTTTAATATTGTAAAATGGGTTATGGTTTTAAGACTGGTTTACCTCAACATTCAACACTTGGTTATTCACACTGTGCACAAAGAATGTGAAGCATTCATCATAAGTTGGGTCTTTTGAGGCAAACACAACCTGGCAGAACAAATACAAACACAGATGAAAACACTCCAGCTTTTACATTTCTGATTCATTGAGTTCGAAAAGAGTGGATTAACATTAGAATTACATTCTAAGAAGTTACATACCTTGCTTTTTTTACTTTGCTGATCAATGGAAAACTCCACATATGAGTTGGGATCATTAGTTCTTCTGGTAAGCTGCAATTTAAAATGGACACATATGGAAATAAAGTCCATTAAGGTCACAGACACATTTTGATAATTTTTTTAAAATTTAATAAATTTTTAAACTCCCATATTTTTTCATGGTCATGACCATGAATTGCCATGACTTTTTCTTGACCTTTCCATTCGTTTGTGATTACTGGATTAAAAAATCTAAAGCATCAAAAAATCTAGCACAGATTTCCATTTATGTCAGGTACCAATCATTGGCAGTGATATATTTAAACAATTATGCATATTAGCATAAAACGTCTCCAGTGAGACAAAAAAGAACTAGTGGTGCAACAAATACCACATTATGCCAAGAGTCCTTCTGGCAGTTGCGAAAAAAAAAAAAACTTTTAATTTTGACTGACTGAATGTGTGTAGGGAATGTTTTTCATTTATATGTCCTGACCAGCAGATTACTCCACTACAGGTGCATCTCAATAAATTAGAATGTCGTGGAAAAGTTCATTTATTTCAGTAATTCAACTCAAATTGTGAAACTCGTGTATTAAATAAATTCAATGCACACGGACTGAAGTAGTTTAAGTCTTTGGTTCTTTTAATTGTGATGATTTTGGCTCACATTTAACAAAAACCCACCAATTCACTATCTCAATTCATTAGAATATGGTGACATGCCAATCAGCTAATCAACTCAAAACACCTGCAAAGGTTTCCTGAGCCTTCAAAATGGTCTCTCAGTTTGGTTCACTGGGCTACACAATCATGGGGAAGACTGTCTGTGATCAACTGACACTGAGGTGATATTATGATTATGAAACTACAACACTATGAAAAAGACCAAGAAAAAGAAATGTTTCACCTTTTAATTTGCATGATGTATATGTGGTTAACGTGATCATAGCTGAACCAGTGGTAGAAACCAGTTGAACAGGTTGCTACAATTACAGAGAAGCAGTAACTAAAACCTGTGCCTTGACTTTATCATGCTTACAGCTGAAACGCTATGATATAATCTCTGGAATGTTCTATATTCAGTGCGAGATGGCAGGAGGCTGCATTCCAAACGCATGAGATGGAATAAGAGTGAAATACCTACAGTAGATATCTAGCTTTTTGACTCTACAAAAGAAAACCTTCACCTTGAGGAAGCCTAATACACAAACTTTCCAGAAATGCTTCGAGAAATAAATCACTCAAAAATTATAAATCAGTCATCATTTACTCACTGCCGTAAAAGGACTACATTTATTTACATTTCAGATTGCTTCTCACACAAACCTATCATATGGCATCAGAAGACTACTTTTGGTACTGTATGTGGTATTTTTATGGTGTTTATAGTGGTGTGCACGGGGGGGGTCACGAGCCCCTGACCCTTTAATCGCAGATGCTAAAGTGCCCTTTCGGTCCGATCTAGGTGCCCCCGGACCGAGATTTCTACTTAGGGGGAACTAACCCACCCCCAACCACGATTTCTAGTGAGGGGGACTTCATTATGTGCTTCATTCTTCTCACATAAGGTCAAGGACAATAGCAGCCATTTCTTACCCGAGCTTCTTTGGGTGGTTTTCCATGCTTTTCATTATGGGTAAATTCACGGTGGTCTTTCTAAAGGCACAGAAAAATGGTAAGAAAGAAAGGAGATATATCACAAAATAACACTTGTTCTCACATGCTGTGGTTGTGTTATGATAAGCTGACAGTCTTTTAGTTGTACATGTATACTCACAGGCAGATTAGAGGCACTGTCCAGGTATACTGCCAACATGGCACAAGCGAGCCCATCACTGGTCTGAAAAGTAAAATTGCATAAAAAATGCATTAAAACACCTTTACATTCCATCCAGTTAAATTTGTACAGTTTAATATAACATTCACATCGGGGGAAAAAAACACACATTTTATTAGAAAATACAGCACTTAAATCACAGCAGGTGATGGTTTTTAACCATCTAGCACAGTATCTAAATCATCTACACTATTATAATGCAAGAAATACAAGCTTACCTCCTGCAGTAGTGCTGGGTTTGTGTGCAAAGAAAACCATTGCAATTTCATATGTATCTGACCAGTCTCTATGTCCTCCAGGGTGAACCACTGAAATTCAAAGACAGAAGTTGGTGAACAACTACAACATATTTATATTATATCATAGTATATTTTAGCACTTTTTCAATGTACAGAGAAATTCCAATAAATTCTTTGTTCAACTATAAGTTAAGGGGCACAACATTTCTGATCTTTATAAAGCTCACCTCATCTATCTCTCGGTCTTTTTTCACATCCCCACAATCCAGACTAAACCTGTGGCAGACAATCCAACATCTCACACAAAATCACATAAAATGGGCAAAATAACAACCATGATCTTAGCATTCTCCTCATTACCTGCCCAAAAAGTCATCGGCATCTGTGTCTTCGTCATAAAGTTTCACCTCCAACTCTTGCCCAGGAGCTTCATGAATGACAAACTATTTTAAAAAAACAGATATTCATGAGATCTCTATTTCACATGTGAAATGACTTTATCCAGATAGATTGAGGACTTCTTAAAATTACCTCATAAACTTCCTTCCAGCGTGGATTCAAAGTTTCTTTGATGGTCTTTGTTTTGAATTGCTGGTTTCCGACCCTCAGCACAGTATATGGATCTGACTTGCCCTTTACGAGGCCCATCATGTACGTGTCTTTGGCTACAAGATCCCGGGCCTCCAAAACATGGACCCGTACAACTCCCTAAAGATGTTCACATAATGTAACTTATTCTGCATTTTGAAAACAAGCATACAAAAAGTTTTTTGGCTGATTTTGGCAGTGGGAACCAATTATTCCAAGTCTTACTCGAGGAAGAGGAAACTTCATTTGATCAACCTTGACCTGATCAATCAAAGGGAAGCACATGCGATTGGGCAGAACCATGAGAGAGGCGATGATATCCACAATGGCTGATTCTGACAGATGACTAGAGAGTAAACAGAGATTTAGATTTGCATGCCAAGAAACACTAAGTATCATGTTTGTTTAATTTATTATGGTAAAGGAATCAAATATCCCTGGTTTTCTAAATGGCTTCTAAAATTTGTAACTAAAAGATTTTTATAGCTAAAATCTGTCCTGGGTGACAGGATATATACTATATGGCTGATTATTATGGAGATTAGTAAGTTAACAGCCATTTAATGTGTTATAAGATATATAATATTCATGGAAAATGAGGAACAAAGAGAGACTTAACATTGTGTCAGGAACACAAACTAAGTCATTTTATTTCTAACTTAAGTGAAAAGGGACATCTTTAATCTTCAATAATCCTGTACTATTTATCCCTCCCTGTACTGGAGGCTTTCACGTTATACACATTTGTTTATATGTAAACTTGTATGACAACATTCCATGTCCTCAAGCAGTTTTGAACAAGGGTGGCTAGCTAGCTAGCTGTTTGGTTTCTCCATTTTGTTTAGCCCATCCAGCTTTAACATGACTGAGTTGCTCATGCTGATTACAAGGTTGACTGCTGGATAACACAAAGTAAACACACAACAGACCAAAGTGCTTAAGTTATTAAATAATGTGATAAAAAAAACACTTCAATACATGTGTATTGAGAACTGTAAACTACAAAAAAAAATAAAAAATACAACAAATGTGCATGGACCTTTCAACCGTTTATTAAGTGACAATCAAAATAATTAAAATCAATGAACATACCTTAGTCCTGGACCATCCAAAAGGTTGGTCATTCCAGTCCAATTGACTTGCAGAGCCTGGAAATTAAATTTAAAATGTTCATGTTTTGCTAATGAACTCATGACACTTTTGTTATTTTTTATTTTAAACTAGCCAGTTGCATGTAATGTCCATACTCACGGGACGACGAATGAAGAACATGGTGACTCCACCTACAAGAGGTGCCTGGCCAATCAGAGGCTCGAGAATTACTCGTAGCATTCCCTGAAGCTGAAAGAAAACAAACACATTCATAGTTCTTAGTTGCTTTCATATTCATTAACGTTTTATACATTCACTTTGCTGTGCTGTGGAGACTCAGTAAGGGTCGGGTCGGGTCGGGTCGGGTCGGGACGGGACGGGACGGGACGGGACAGACAGATTTATTATGAAATTAATACTTTTTTTCAGCAGGAATGCATTATGCTGATTAAAGTGACAGTAAAGACATTTATAATGTTACAAAAAATTTATATTTTAAATAAATGCTGTTCTTTTGAACATTCTGTTCATCAAATAATTCAAAAAAATAGTAGCAGTTTCCAAAAGAATCAAGCAAGACAACTTTTTTTTAAAAAACATTGAAAATAATAAGAAATGTTTTTTTAGCACCAAACCAACAAAGATTTCTGAAGGACAACGTGACACTGAAAACTAGAGTAATATCTGCTGAAAATTCATCTTTGCCATCACAGAAATAAATTAAATTTTAAAATAGTTAAAGAGAAAACAGTTATTTTAAATTGCAATAATACCGTATTTCACATTATTACTACTTTTATTGTATATTTAAGCAAATGAATACAGCTGTGGCGAGCATAAGTCTTTAAAGACTTCTCACAACCCCAAACTTTTAAACGGTATTGTGAATATCACAAACGTGACCATGCCTGACATTAAAGGCAACTCTTAAATATCAATTGAAGAAAATACCATCTATTGTCATTAAATTCAGTTATTCCTTCACTAACCTGAAGGCCTTTGACTCCAACTTTGATGGCTGGTTTAACATCTGCATCAATGTCTACATCAGCTTCATAACTACAGGAGATGAAAGGAAAGAGAGCCTTAAAACATTTCAGGAACATATATGGTAGCAAAACCACACACTATATCAGTCATATATGGGTTAGCAAGATCATCTGGTGTCAAAATTAAGTTCTGTGTCACAGCTCACGTAATGTTGAAGTCAAGGATGACCTCTCTTGTTTCCAGCTCATGCGTGTACACCCGTACCCCTGTAATAGTTGGAGCCTGAAATGCAAATACACAATTGTAAGCTCTTATTTGACTGTTGAAATATTTATAATAGTGGGCTACTACGGCCTATTGGCAGTTAAGGGCGCCGAGCCTCAGATTACGAAATCATACCTTCTGTCCCATGTGAACTTTAGTAAAGGTGAAGGTCTTCAGATGGGGGCTGGACGATCTTACAGATGGCTGAATGTTTTCAATGAGAAGCTTTTCCATGTACATGCCAAAGAACGGCCATGCTTGCTGAAGAATCTACAAACAAGCACATTTATTATAGACATGCATTAGCAGCAAAAATACTGAAATAGTACAATTTAAACTTCCACAGCCAGACAAATTTATGAGATTTGCCAGCATTATGACAGGTGCAAATCAACATTTGAGAAATCTTACCTTGTTGATCCAAGCAGCCTTCTCAACATCTGCAAAGTGAATCTATCGGGGACAAAATAAAGAAATAAGGAACAGAGACAAATAATGAATATTTCACCACAAAATTAAGGTTCACTTGTCTAGAAATCAAAAACACTTGCTTGCAACTTGCTTAAATATAATTTTCAGCATATCAAATTCCATATAATTCTGTTTTCCTTTCAGCTTTCTGTGAACTATGAATTAGAAAAATCCCTAAAAAGTTAAGAGGGTTCAAGTGGCATTTTTTTTATTTTATTTTATGGTGTTATGATATCTGTGGCCTGTAATCTATAATATCTAAATCAACTGTGAAGATATGTGATATCACCCAGATATTTTACATAGAAGACAACAAGCAAACTGACAACCTGAAACAGCATGACTATTTTTGTCACAAAGGGTTAAAGGGATAGTTGACACCAAAATAAAAATGGTTAAAATTAAAATATGCTGTCTCTAGCATTCTTCCATTATCTAAAGGCAGCACATCTCCTCGGTTTCCCAGAAGAAAGATCGTCATACTGGTTTGGAATGACATAAAGGTGAGTAAATGATGGCTTTTTATTTTATTTTAGGAGAACTACCCCTTCAGGGTTATACTGGAGTTTGTAAACATAAAAATATTGAGAACTGTAGCAACAAACTATAAAATTTTACTTTGCAGTTCCAATAAACAACATCATCCATTTTATATATGTCTTTCAACCTTAGTACCACATTAAAGGGTGTGTCAGGTTCTTGTTTTAAAGTATGAAGGGCTGGGTATTTTAATTAAGAAACTCAAGCTGACACCTTTGTTTGTGATGTTCCCAAAGCAATACAACGAGAAGCCACACCTCATACAATTCATTACCATCTAGTATTGTTTGGAAACTAAATATCTATATAATCAAGTACAGCAGAGTGTTTTCCCAGCAACATAGCCTACTACTATCTTTGCAACTACTTAAAATACATGTTGCACAGATCACTTCATTGAACTTATTATTCCAGGTCAGTAAACATGCCAAAAAAGACCGCCCACCCAAGCTGGCATGTTCATGGCTTTGAGTTCAGTGCTGATCACGTCCTTCTCGTTTTCCAAAAAGTCAATTGCTGTGTCGATCCTCTGATCTTTCCACCTGCGGTTGTTTTTCCACATGGTCCACATCAGCATGCTCAGGAGAATCCAGCTGATGCTGAGTCCAAGCGAGCCGGTCAGGTATACAGGATAGCACAGGACAATCGCTCTCATCATGAACATCATGAACTCCATGACCAACTGGTTGACATCCTTTGCACTGAGTCCTGGATTTCCAGTAGAGATGGAGGGCTCTTGACCCCCACTGACTGCAGCACTCATTGTGACTCTGGAACCTGGTTATTGATTTAAACGTTGAAGTAGATACGTAGTAGAAGTCTGAATTCACATCAGAGACGATGCATCGCCTGTCGATCTTTGTGCTGGGGTTGGTTTTCCAGGCTATCCGAGCAATCAAATCCAACCATCAGATCGAAAGGGTGAACAAAACGTTTACCGTGAGGCTCTCAGCATCCCCTGTGACCCGTCGTTTTTTATTTTATTTTAGGAGAACTACCCCTTCAGGGTTATACTGGAGTTTGTAAACATAAAAATATTGAGAACTGTAGCAACAAACTATAAAATTTTACTTTGCAGTTCCAATAAACAACATCATCCATTTTATATATGTCTTTCAACCTTAGTACCACATTAAAGGGTGTGTCAGGTTCTTGTTTTAAAGTATGAAGGGCTGGGTATTTTAATTAAGAAACTCAAGCTGACACCTTTGTTTGTGATGTTCCCAAAGCAATACAACGAGAAGCCACACCTCATACAATTCATTACCATCTAGTATTGTTTGGATACTAAATATCTATATAATCAAGTACAGCAGAGTGTTTTCCCAGCAACATAACCTACTACTATCTTTGCAACTACTTAAAATACATGTTGCACAGATCACTTCATTGAACTTATTATTCCAGGTCAGTAAACATGCCAAAAAAGACCGCCCACCCAAGCTGGCATGTTCATGGCTTTGAGTTCAGTGCTGATCACGTCCTTCTCGTTTTCCAAAAAGTCAATTGCTGTGTCGATCCTCTGATCTTTCCACCTGCGGTTGTTTTTCCACATGGTCCACATCAGCATGCTCAGGAGAATCCAGCTGATGCTGAGTCCAAGCGAGCCGGTCAGGTATACAGGATAGCACAGGACAATCGCTCTCATCATGAACATCATGAACTCCATGACCAACTGGTTGACATCCTTTGCACTGAGTCCTGGATTTCCAGTAGAGATGGAGGGCTCTTGACCCCCACTGACTGCAGCACTCATTGTGACTCTGGAACCTGGTTATTGATTTAAACGTTGAAGTAGATACGTAGTAGAAGTCTGAATTCACATCAGAGACGATGCATCGCCTGTCGATCTTTGTGCTGGGGTTGGTTTTCCAGGCTATCCGAGCAATCAAATCCAACCATCAGATCGAAAGGGTGAACAAAACGTTTACCGTGAGGCTCTCAGCATCCCCTGTGACCCGTCGTGTTTAATTCATCTCCATTAAACCAACTGTGATTGTGGAGGAGCTGGCAGTTTTTGCGAACTTCCGTGTTTCCCATCCATTGGGTTTTTACCTGCCAACCTCGAAGTAGACACGCCTAAATTCCACCCTTTTCTATGTGTGAGAAATAGCACATTAGTGCAGTTAGTTGACAGACGGGATCTGCCTCGAAACCAAATGATTGCAAATTGAAAGCGATCTGTTCATGGAAGTAGCCGAGCATTAAATAGTGGCTGATGCAGAGTGAGTGGCCGAGATTTATTGCAGGGCGATTTTTTTCACTTGGATGAACTTAGTTTTGTGTGATTTTAAAGAAACGTGCTTGGAAGAGCATGAAGAAAAATAATCAACATTCGTTAAAATTATAGATTATAATAGCTTTAAGCTTTTTTATTATCTCTTTATTTAGCTTAAACAACAAGAAGAAGAATACGCATTTGTTAAAATTATAGATTATAATAGCTTTAAGGTTTTTAGTGTCTCTTTATTTAGCTAGTTTAATGTTTTCCTTTTAACGTCAAATATGTTGATATCTATGTGCACAATCTGATTTTTAATCTTTATAGCAAACAAATATTGTCATTTTTCTCAGACCAAACATTTAAGACAACACGTTTAAAAAAAAGTTTATTTGGTAATAGTGTAAATTAAAACCATGGTATTTATTTCGTGACGTGCGGAATGTTTTAACATAATATGCATTATTATTATTATTTTATTATTATATGGAACTTTCATTTTTCAAGATATGTCCGCATTTTGTACCAATTGAATTGCCTTTTTTTGTCTTGCGCCATCTCAAGGTGTTTCAAAGCCAGTGCAGTCCAATACAAGAGTATACTTTTATCAGCTGCTTTATGTAGCTACATACTGATGAACTTACGGATAATAGCTTGACCTGGCTTGGAAATTGAGTTGTATTTGTGTAACTGTTGACTATTACTCACTATTTAAAATCTAAGACATTCACAAACATGACTGCATGTCTCTTAAAACTGATGAAAGAATTGGCGAGGAGAAAGAACCATTTAAAAACACTAAAATTATATTTTATTGGAATACATTAGCAGTGCAATGAGAGCGAAATTAGCCTACTGTCATTCCTGACACCTAAATTCGGATCCTCTACATTATAAAACATTTTGTTTTACACTATTATTTTTATAACCTCACCTTGCCTGTCCTGGGTACATTGTACAGTTTAAACCACAATCAAATACATTTTATGAAGAAATAGAAACCCACCATTAATGAACATAAAAAAAGACTTGTCAGAAGTGGGATTCGAACCCACGCCTCCATTCGGAGACCAGAAGACCCGTGTTTAGCAGGGAAGGGTTGAACCTTGAGTCTGGCGCCTTAGACCACTCGGCCATCCTGACAACTAAAAAACACTAGAAAATATGTCGCTATCCATATTTATGAAAACTGTTATTATTATTGATTTCTGAAAGGGCGTTCTCGACTAAAACTTGCGCGCCAGAGCGAATTTTTTAAAATACTAAGGTTGTAAGTTACACTCGACTTTCCTAAATAAAACGCCAGTAACGTTATATGCTAGAATCAGAATCGAATTATCTCAGCTTTTCGTTTATGTTTTAGAACCTATTTCAAATAAGTGCACAAAATTAAGGTTTTCACTGAGTAAAGAACGCGTTTGTCGTTTTATGAAGCGCAAGCGTAGCAATTTGCAAAGGGATCTGCGCATGCGTGTTATAACCGGCGCTTACCACACATTCAGCACGTGATCTGTTATTAAACGCCACAGGGGCGTGGCTCTGATTTCTAACGTGCTAGTGACACCGCTCTTGAGTGGAGAAGTGCAAACCTGTTTTTATACAGTCTATGGTGTAAACAAGCGAAATCGTAACGATGTCTCTTTACCGGAACACAGTTTGGTTACTGAAGGGTCTACAGGAATATACGAAGTAAGTCATCATCGGTGTATTTTCGTTTCAGCTTGCCTAACACTTTGATAAGCACAAATCATAGACGGTCATTTACCGTCGAAAGTTTCTGCAATGCACACCAGGTAAAATCTCATTAACGCTCATCAGGGGCGGTTATGAGGCAGCGGCGAGGAGCTTCAGCGAGGCGGATCTGGAGGTGGCTGTGAGCGGCCGCTCGTTCATCATCACCGGAGCGAACAGCGGCATCGGTAAAGCCGCCGCCTGCGAAATCGCCAAAAGAGGTGAGAAATCATGGCTGTGTTCATTCAGAACACAGAGACTTCTGGTTATAGTTTGTTCTTTAATGACTGCTCAACTTGGAAGATCTTGTACATTCAATCAGAACCCTGTTATGACATTTAGGTACAAGTTTAACCAACAAAAGGGACGCAACAGTGACTCCTACTGACAAATGATGTGCAGTGCTGATAAAAACCCAGCAAAGTTCATTCACACGGTTTATCTTCAGGTGGGACAGTACATCTGGTGTGCAGAAATGAAGACCGTGCAAAGGAGGCAAGAAAAGACGTTGTGGAGCAAAGTAAAAATGAGGTATATTTTCTGAAGTACATTTATATGCTTTAAATCATTATTTCACATGCAGTGAACTCTAGTCTGAGTTTGTCTCTCATTTGCTTTCAGAATGTCCATGTTCACTTAGTTGACATGTCCAACCCCAGGAAAGTGTGGGAGTTTGCTAGTGGATTCTCTCAGAATCACAATCTACATGTTCTGGTAAATGTATTCCCGGTTTAAGTCATGTCAACCTACAATAATAAGCTGAAACAATAAGCCGCGAGAGGCTGTGCAAGTAAAATCACGTTAATGCACATGGATATTGCTGTTATAATGTGGGGGTAGTAGCTGCACTATGATAAAATTGTTCCATCAATTGTATACAGTAACAGTAATTTATTCATCATCATTCGAAATTATTCGAAATCATTTTAAATAGAAACCGATATTTCATCTTCCCCCCAAGTAATATATTGCATTAGTAGCATGGCACAATTAATATAGCATGTACAGTCATGTCTGTTTATGGTCATTTTACAACTGCTTTGACAGTGATGTACATTGTTATGCTGTCTCTGCTTGTATTGTTCAGCCCTTTGTGTTTTATCTTTACGTGATGTATTACCGTAGATCAATAATGCAGGTTGCATGGTCAATCAGAGAGAACTGACTGAGGATGACCTGGAGAAAAACTTTGCGACAAACACACTAGGTAGGAAAGTTAATTCATGTTTTTCTGATCTGACGTTGGTCATATGTTAAGATTTTTCCAACATGGACAACAAAGTATGAGCTTTTACTGCAATATTTTAGTTTTGCCTGTTTTATAAAATCAAGGTCAGAGGCCACCCCTTTGGTATGAGAATGTTTTTAGTGCCTCCTCTTAAAATCAAGGGATAAGAAGAGATAAGAGTGACTGGTTGGCTCACTCATCTTGTGTGTTTTACAGGGACATATATACTGACAACAGCACTGATTCCTACACTGAAGAAGTCAGAGAATCCCAGAGTGGTGGGTGTGAAGCAATGTAATAAACGCGTGCTGTTTGCAAAAAGGGACAGTGCCACCATATATTTCCGTGTTTCCAAACACATTTACACTCGCACGTTAACAGACATGCATGACTTTAGTGACATGTTTATGAAAGTTAAAACAGAACTTCCCCCAAAACTTTATCATTGTTCTATTATTTTAAAATATTTCTTATTTTGATTTTACTTCATTATTTCATTTCAATCATTATTTTTATTAGTAGTGAAAGTTGCAGAGAAATTATTTTATTTATTATTATTTTTGTATGTTCATTTATTTTTATAATTTATTTTAATTTTTTTTACAGATCACTGTGTCATCTGGTGGGATGCTGGTTCAGAAATTAAATGTAGAGGACCTTCAGTTCGAGAAAGGCTCTTTTGACGGCACCATGGCCTATGCACAGAACAAGGTACTACTATAAACCACTCCCAATACAAATCAGTAAAAACTTTGCACTGTTTGGCTTAAAAAATTCACCAACTACAAAACATACAAAAATGTAGCCATCATACTTTTGGTGGCTTACCAATCCAGTCCATCATTCACTGTTAAAAATAATAGCACAAAGCAGTGGCACAGATTCCAGCAGCATCACCATTCTGCCTTTGTTACATTGACCATTATAATTGTCATTATGGTGAGCGTTTTGATGCTCATGCAACCTGATTTACTGTCCTCATGTTTTTGTTTATGCAGGGTTTTTTTTTTTTTCAATTTACCGTATTGTTTTTGATGCTTTTTGTAAAGATGCTGAAGTTATTAATTGTTAACTGTGACCTTTCTCAGAGGCAGCAGGTGATCATGACAGAGCAATGGGCAGCTCAGCACAAAGAAGTCCACTTCTCATCCATGCACCCAGGCTGGGCAGACACCCCAGGTGGGCAGTGTGTGTGTACTGTACAGCTGAGAGTAAATATATTGATTGATCTCAGTCAATAAGATATTGTTTTGTGTTTTTGTTCCATCTACAGCGGTGCGGTCATCCATGCCAGATTTTTATGCGAAAATGAAGAATAAACTCCGTACTGAAGCTCAAGGTGCCGACACGGTGGTGTGGCTGGCCATATCGGATACTGCCAGCAGACAGCCCAGCGGCCTCTTCTTCCAAGGTCAGGCATCTTTATAAAATGTGAAAGTGTCTGTGTAAAATAATGAAATAACGAACATGTCTCTGCATAGCAGACTAAAGCTGTCTTTAACATGTAACTGAACTCTGACCTCTGTTTCTCAAACTGATTCATCTGCAGACAGAAAAGCGGTTTCTACGCATCTGCCTCTGGCCTCCTCCAGGACTTCTCCAGCTGAAGACCAGAAGCTGATGAGCGAGTTGGAGGAGCTCGCTGTGAAATTCAAGAGTTAATCGGTTGGGTTAGTGGCCAAATCCAAAGAAGCCATCATTCCACACACAGACTATGCTATTCATTCTTAACAACGGTGACAATTGCAGAGACGTGAAAAGCTCATGAATACTATAACAAAAAGACTACCCAAAACAACCTGAAATGTTTAAAATATTTAAAACCTATTATCTATTCTTCGAACAAATACATTCCTAAGCATTTTTTTATTATACTAGACTTTTGCAATATGGAAATAGCAGATTATTTTATTCATAAATCCAAAACTGCTATTCCAAAAAAAAAAGCCATCAAGACTCAACAGCTGTCTAAGAACATGCTATACAGCACTACCTACAACTTGTATTCAAATGAAACAAATACATGTGAAGATAACTACTAAAAATAAAAGACTACTACTAAATAACTCTTTATTTTTGTCAATTCGTCGCTACTGACATGATTCTTAATTAAAGATAATAATGAACAATTAATCTCTGTCTCAATCTTTTAGGGAAGTCATTATTTTATGTTTACAGTTATATTAACATTTATTTTTCCTGATAAAATTCAAATCGTGTTTGTGATGTTTACGTGAGCTGGTAGTTGAGACTAAACCACGGGATTTGAAATGGTTTATATTTATAGAAGTAAAGAACCATTACAAACAGTAAAAGAATCACAGTGTTGCTCCAGTGACAATTATTATCACTTACTCTACTGTTCGAAGGTCTGGGGTAGGTAAGATTTTTTTAGTAAGATACTTTTATTCAGCAAGAATCAATTAAATTGATCAAGATCAAAAGTAATGTTACAAAAGTTTTTAAGTAAATGCTTTTCTTCCTCAAAGAATCCTGCAAAATGCATCACTATTTCCACACAAATATTAAGCAGCACTTACTGTTTTTGCTACGTTTCATTCATTACAAATGTTTTTTGAGCAACAAATTAACACATTAGAATGATTTCTGAGGGATCGTGTCACACTGAAGACTGGAGTAAATTTGCTATCAAGAGAATTATATTTAAATAGAAAACGCTTCTTTTAAACTGTAATCATATTTCACAATATTACGGTTTTTAATGTATTTTTGATCACATGAATGCAGATTTGGTGAGCAGAAGAGACTCCTTTCAAAAACACAAAACTGACCCCAAACTTTTAAATGGAAGTGTACTTTCAAATGGACATTTTTGTCAAATTGGTTCTTTTTTAAAAGCTAATAGGCAATCCAACCTCCACATTTGCAATTACACAGTTACAAAGTAAAGCATCTTTATTTTGTGCCATTCCTGTTTTACCTATCTGTTTCCTGTGACCATTCAGCTGTAATGTTTTGCCCACTGTGGCTTTACAATGAGCTATTAACAATAACCAAATGTCCACTTGCTTGATTCAACATAAAGCAAAAATGGTGCCAGACAAATATAGTCGAATTTTGTTTTAAACCACCACATTTTCTGATCCAATGAAAGAATGAAATACCATGAATGTTTCTTACAGTAACGAGATGTCTATGAAACTTTAGCTTTAATAAGATCAAACACAATATTATTACAATAAAGCATTATTGAATTTTACCCTGTGTAACATTTGTGATTATGTGTGTGTTAAATCTTCCAATTAAATTTACTGGTATTGAAATACCAGTAAAACTAAGTGCTTACATTTAAAGAGTCAAATAGATGACAAGAAGGCAATAGCAGAGACTATTTTCCCATGCCAACACCACTGATTGAAGTGCGGTAAAGGCACTTGAATATAAAACAGTTCCAGCATGCTTTGATGCAATGTCACGAGGATTCATTTGTGTTTGAGATAAGACATAAGATGATGATAGAATAAGTGCGAAGAGTTTCACAGACAACATTGACAACATTAACAACACTGGTTTACGTCAATATAAACAACCTGAAATAAGCAGATTCAGACTGGACAATATTTACACATTTGTTCCCATAACCCACGTGCACATGCACAAATACATACAAATGCACATGCTCGGTTCAATGTCACAATATCCTTGAGTTTTTCCTCTATGATATGAAGCTGCCCATGGAAAGTGACCTGAACTCTGAACGTTCTCCACAAACACGTGGTTCTCAGTTCAGGTTCAGCACTGATTCTTAGTTCCAGCTTGCAGTGGATTCTCATGATACCACTGGAGTCATGTCCCATAGCTGAATGGAAACACACCACAGATATTAAAACTAGTTCAATCTCTTTATCAAACGGTACACTCACATTTGAGTGAGAACAGTTACTGACCTTGATGATTTTGTCTGTCCCGGAGGTGAGCAGCCAGCCCCGGGTTGGTTCATACTGCATGTGTATGATGCTGTGCTTACTGTCATGGAATATCCTTGAGTTTTTCCTCTATGATATGAAGCTGCCCATGGAAAGTGACCTGAACTCTGAACGTTCTCCACAAACACGTGGTTCTCAGTTCAGGTTCAGCACTGATTCTTAGTTCCAGCTTGCAGTGGATTCTCATGATACCACTGGAGTCATGTCCCATAGCTGAATGGAAACACACCACAGATATTAAAACTAGTTCAATCTCTTTATCAAACGGTACACTCACATTTGAGTGAGAACAGTTACTGACCTTGATGATTTTGTCTGTCCCGGAGGTGAGCAGCCAGCCCCGGGTTGGTTCATACTGCATGTGTATGATGCTGTGCTTACTGTCATGGAATGTTGCAGTGGGCGCCCGTCTGGACAAAAAGAAAGCTTTAGGTGATTCTACTAGTTACGAGACTCAAAACACTGAAGACAATCCAAATTTGACTTACTCCTCATCTGTAATAGAGTCGTGACAACTGTCACAAACCCGCACCTCAAACTCAAATCCCATTAGAGGAATAGTGGAGCGTTTAGAGGAGCACTTTCCACACACAGCCTGGCCACACTTCCTACAGTGATGCTGGGAAAGAGCAAAATCAAGCTGCTTTATATGATATTAAAGTGTGGGCTGAAGGCTGAACAAGGGACTGCAAACCTAATCAGAAGCATTTAATTCATATTTTCTGAAAATACTTATCTTAATGCATTTACAATTCTCATATAAATATATTTTATGGTAAGATATTTTTTTAATAATTCCAGATATATTTTAAAAAATTTCAATGTACACTACCAAAGAAAAGTTTGGGGTCAGTAAGATTTTTTTATTTTTTTTAAAGAAATTATTACTTTGATTCAACAAGGATAATTAAAATTTATCTAATTTAATTTAACAATAAATTTAACAAAAGTGACAGTAAAGACATTTACAATGTTACAAAAGATTTCTATTTCAAATAAATGCTGTTCTTTTGAACTTTCTACTTATCACTGAATCCTGAAAAAAAATGTATCACGGTTTCCACAAAAACATCAAGCAGCACAAATATCAATATTGATAACAATATTTTCAATATTGATAATAATAAGAAATGTTTCTAGAATGATTTCTGAAGGATCATGTGACACTGAAGACTGGAGTAATGGCTGCTGAAAATTCAGCTTTGCCGTCACAGGAATAAATTATATTTTAAATAATAATATAATAGAAAACAGTATTTTTAAATTGAAAAATGTCACAATATTACCATTTTACTGTATTTTTAATCAAACAAATGCAGTCTTTGTGAGCATGACATCTTTAAAAAACATTTTAAAAATCTTACCGACCCCAAATATTTGAATGACTGTGTATATTATATAAAAAAGTCTTATCTTACACAATTTAGCTTCTCAACTAAATTTATCTTGTTTTAAGGATGTCTAGAATTTACTGTAAAACAAGGCAAAAATATTGATTAATAAATTATTTTATTTCTTTTTGCAGTGTAACTTTAATGCTATTGTGCACTGTACCTGTCGCAGGCCGATTTTCTTACTGTCCCACATCTGTTTAAAATTCCAGAAGAACGGCTGTTCACACTTCTGACACGAGTCACTGTCAAGCCACTCCGGAGTCTGAGACACAGAACAGATGAGGACATGCTGAAACTATGTAAACACACATATGTAACTAACATAAATACTACATGTCCTGTTGACGGAGGCAATCCCTTATGTACTAGATACTTCATCCTCACTATATCTTTCTCACCTCCTGCCGTGTGACGTCCATGTTCCAGATAACTATTCCTCCATCTGAGCCACAGGAAATGAGTTGACGGGTGTGTGAAGCGTAACACAAACCCTGCACTTTATCACTGTCGCACACACACACAAACACTCAAATATTAGGACCTGGCAAGCATGCTTTGCTTATTCTCATATCTTAAATACATGACAACAATTCATCTGTCCTACTTGTGTCCCTGCAGCTCAAAAGCTGTTCCTTTACGGCCTCCAATGTCCCACATGATGATTGAATGATCAGAACTTCCAGAGAATAAAACCCTTTGCACAGGATCCCAACACAGGGCTGTGACATTGCCTACACACATAAACACACACATAGCCACCGTTAAAAGGTTCAGGGTCAGGTACAGCACAAGTAATGGAATACTTGTTTCCATTATACAGTATTTTGTGGATGTATGCATGTATCCTATGGCTATGAGGACTTTAAGGCTGCTCAGTGGGAAAAATGCAGCATGCTTTGATGCAATGTCACGAGGATTCATTTGTGTTTGAGATAAGACATAAGATGATGATAGAATAAGTGCGAAGAGTTTCACAGACAACATTGACAACATTAACAACACTGGTTTACGTCAATATAAACAACCTGAAATAAGCAGATTCAGACTGGACAATATTTACACATTTGTTCCCATAACCCACGTGCACATGCACAAATACATACAAATGCACATGCTCGGTTCAATGTCACAATATCCTTGAGTTTTTCCTCTATGATATGAAGCTGCCCATGGAAAGTGACCTGAACTCTGAACGTTCTCCACAAACACGTGGTTCTCAGTTCAGGTTCAGCACTGATTCTTAGTTCCAGCTTGCAGTGGATTCTCATGATACCACTGGAGTCATGTCCCATAGCTGAATGGAAACACACCACAGATATTAAAACTAGTTCAATCTCTTTATCAAACGGTACACTCACATTTGAGTGAGAACAGTTACTGACCTTGATGATTTTGTCTGTCCCGGAGGTGAGCAGCCAGCCCCGGGTTGGTTCATACTGCATGTGTATGATGCTGTGCTTACTGTCATGGAATGTTGCAGTGGGCGCCCGTCTGGACAAAAAGAAAGCTTTGGGTGATTCTACTAGTTACGAGACTCAAAACACTGAAGACAATCCAAATTTGACTTACTCCTCATCTGTAATAGAGTCGTGACAACTGTCACAAACCCGCACCTCAAACTCAAATCCCATTAGAGGAATAGTGGAGCGTTTAGAGGAGCACTTTCCACACACAGCCTGGCCACACTTCCTACAGTGATGCTGGGAAAGAGCAAAATCAAGCTGCTTTATATGATATTAAAGTGTGGGCTGAAGGCTGAACAAGGGACTGCAAACCTAATCAGAAGCATTTAATTCATATTTTCTGAAAATACTTATCTTAATGCATTTACAATTCTCATATAAATATATTTTATGGTAAGATATTTTTTTAATAATTCCAGATATATTTTAAAAAATTTCAATGTACACTACCAAAGAAAAGTTTGGGGTCAGTAAGATTTTTTTATTTTTTTTAAAGAAATTATTACTTTGATTCAACAAGGATAATTAAAATTTATCTAATTTAATTTAACAATAAATTTAACAAAAGTGACAGTAAAGACATTTACAATGTTACAAAAGATTTCTATTTCAAATAAATGCTGTTCTTTTGAACTTTCTACTTATCACTGAATCCTGAAAAAAAATGTATCACGGTTTCCACAAAAACATCAAGCAGCACAAATATCAATATTGATAACAATATTTTCAATATTGATAATAATAAGAAATGTTTCTAGAATGATTTCTGAAGGATCATGTGACACTGAAGACTGGAGTAATGGCTGCTGAAAATTCAGCTTTGCCGTCACAGGAATAAATTATATTTTAAATAATAATATAATAGAAAACAGTATTTTTAAATTGAAAAATGTCACAATATTACCATTTTACTGTATTTTTAATCAAACAAATGCAGTCTTTGTGAGCATGACATCTTTAAAAAACATTTTAAAAATCTTACCGACCCCAAATATTTGAATGACTGTGTATATTATATAAAAAAGTCTTATCTTACACAATTTAGCTTCTCAACTAAATTTATCTTGTTTTAAGGATGTTTAGAATTTACTGTAAAACAAGGCAAAAATATTGATTAATAAATTATTTTATTTCTTTTTGCAGTGTAACTTTAATGCTATTGTGCACTGTACCTGTCGCAGGCCGATTTTCTTACTGTCCCACATCTGTTTAAAATTCCAGAAGAACGGCTGTTCACACTTCTGACACGAGTCACTGTCAAGCCACTCCGGAGTCTGAGACACAGAACAGATGAGGACATGCTGAAACTATGTAAACACACATATGTAACTAACATAAATACTACATGTCCTGTTGACGGAGGCAATCCCTTATGTACTAGATACTTCATCCTCACTATATCTTTCTCACCTCCTGCCGTGTGACGTCCATGTTCCAGATAACTATTCCTCCATCTGAGCCACAGGAAATGAGTTGACGGGTGTGTGAAGCGTAACACAAACCCTGCACTTTATCACTGTCGCACACACACACAAACACTCAAATATTAGGACCTGGCAAGCATGCTTTGCTTATTCTCATATCTTAAATACATGACAACAATTCATCTGTCCTACTTGTGTCCCTGCAGCTCAAAAGCTGTTCCTTTACGGCCTCCAATGTCCCACATGATGATTGAATGATCAGAACTTCCAGAGAATAAAACCCTTTGCACAGGATCCCAACACAGGGCTGTGACATTGCCTACACACATAAACACACACATAGCCACCGTTAAAAGGTTCAGGGTCAGGTACAGCACAAGTAATGGAATACTTGTTTCCATTATACAGTATTTTGTGGATGTATGCATGTATCCTATGGCTATGAGGACTTTAAGGCTGCTCAGTGGGAAAAATGATAGTACTGTCATCCAGGCCACCAGGGGATGCCATCCACACTAGAATGACTGGAAGAGGTCATTTAAATGTTAACCCTTGGTACACTTAAGACTTGTTTGTTGGTTAATTTGCTTGTTTGTGCTGACCAACTGATTTCCCTTTTTGCCATGTTTTCTTTTTGTTGCTTGATAGGATGCATGTTTTCATGCTACCACTTTGTTAATGTTGAGAGGTTTTTGTTTTTTTTGTAACTAAGAAGCCTAATTAAGTATTTATTTTATTTACCCACTTCAAGTGCTCAAATTCACAGAGCTGCCCCTGCCACGCAAAGATTTTACTACCTCTCCAAATTTATGTGTGAATCTCAATAGACCATCTAATGGCAAAATGTGTCTGGGCTAATGGTGAAGAGTGTATTTTACTGTGTATCTATTTGTAGTGTGCTGTTTGTAAGTTGTAATGAGCTGTTGTAAGCACCTGTGTGGCCTTTAAAGGTGGTGACCAGGCTGCAGTTGTCCTGCTCCAGCTTTAGGATTGTCACTTGACCGGAATGATCTCCAACGAAGGCATGTCTGGTCTCCACATCAAATCTTACACAGATTGTCAAGAAGCCAATGCTACAAAACTTTCATGTGTTTTCATTTAACCAAAAACAAAAATAAAGTTACTTTAATTAATTTTGGATAATTTAACTTTTTATGTTCTTTAGGGCATTTTGTTGCAAGGTGATAAATTAAACCAGTCGTATTAAAGATTTTTTTTTTTTTTGCAACAAGCCACCTCTTAATATTTCAGCCTAACCAATTTAGCATGTTGCTACCCAAGCATAATTTTTGTGAAGCATGTCCACACTGCTAACATTAACCTCGTCTAGTTTATCTATGCTGCGTGCGTGAAATAGACACTAACGTTCAAAACGAGTCATCAGAGAAAAACTTTCAGTTGCTGAAAT